TTTTACTCACAAGACTTGGGTCATCCTCTGTTAAGGTTTTCAGGCACTTTCCAAAGGTGCCGCATGCTGGGATCATCCCCCTCCAGATCGATAACATCAGAAAGTCTTCTTCCTGATAAATCAACCATGGTGAGATTCGAACCCAGGTCTTATGGTCAGAAAACGAACATTCTAACCACTCGGCCATGCATCCATATCTATCTCCTTCTGTTCATATCCATCTAGCTAGCTATCTCATTTTGTTCATATCTATCTCACTATGAATTCACATCTTCTTCCCCATCTATGGGTTAGTTAGTAAGACTTCTATCGCTAAATCATTATTATCTGAAAAAAATTCTTAAAATCTAAAGATATTGTCTAACTTTAAATAACCTGCAAATGGTTGATAAGCTGTAGAAAACAAATCAACTGTGAAAAAAACTTAGTAGTTACTGGGTGTTCAAAAGTAGTCCAATTTAGCAATCCTGTACTCAGACAAAGATTTCTGTCAACATGTTGCTATTGCAAGAGTTTATTTTTTCATGTAATAATAGTCATTTGCAGAAAAATGTATTTACTCTTAAATTATGTAGAGAATTGGTAATATTGATGACTTAGGACCAGGACTTGTGTGACTTCCTCTTGGTTAAGTCACTTATCACAAAGGCCATGAAATACCTGGAATCAACTCGTCAATTCATTACCACTGGTATTAAGATTGAGCGTGAAAAAATCTAGTCTGCTACTTTCAGACAAACATTACTTTACCTACATCAAATTCTGCAAATTATCTTGAATTGAATAAAAGAGGCCTAGAAGCTATAATGATATAGATAATCAGACGTATGATTTGTATGTCTTTTGTAGTCCCAAGAATTAAGATATTTTTTCACGTTACAATACAATCCCCTTTGCTTAAAGATGCTTTGCTGCTGTCAAATCTTTTCATTCTTATCACACTCTATGGTATATAAAACTGGCCTTTGTCAAGAGTGTCAGTGGGGGTAACAGCTTTTCTTTGCTGCTGCTAAGATAGTTATAGTTTTTTGCTCGAGTGCTCACTTTATTTTTTATCAACTATTATGGCTCGTCAGTTAGATGATATCAGGGATGGGACAGAGTGCAGGGAGGTATAGGTTCATGTCTTTCTTAAAGGCATTAGTGAACAGTGCCCAGGAGCAGCCTCAAGTTGAATTTGAATTTGGCTTACAGATCTGTTTTCTTTTTCTGACAGATAGAAATATTACCTCACAATGCTTCATTTTCCCTCTCCCTCTCTGCTTTCTCTCTTTCCTGTTTACTCTCCCAACTGTTCTCTCCTTTCTGTCTCCAACCTTTCTCCCTCTTCTTTCTTTCTGCAAAATTTCTACCTCTTCAACTTCTCTCCCTCTTCTTTCTCTCTCCACTTCTCTTCCTCTTCTGTCCCTCTTTCCAATTTCTCTCTCTCCCCAACTTCTCTCTCCCCTCTCCCCAACTTCTCTCTCCCCCTCTCCCCAAATTCTCTCTCCCCTCTCCCCAAATTCACTCCCAAATTCTTTCCTTTGTCTCTTTCCAACTTCTCTTCCTTGTCTCTTTCCAACTTCTCTCCCTTGTCTCTTTCCAACTTTTCTCTCTCTCCCTTTCCTCTAAATTTCTCTTCCTCTTCTCTCTCTCTACTCTCTCTCAACTTCTCTTCCTCTACTCTCTCTCTTTCTTTAAGCCCTCTCCTTACTCTCTCTCTTTCTTTAAGCCCTCTCCTTCTCCTTTTCTCTCTGCAGCCTCTCTCCCTCTCCAACCTCTCCTCTCCATCTTATATAGCTCTCTCTTTCTGTCCCCTATCAATCTTTTTCACCCTTTGGCATTTCTGCAATATATTATTCAAAATCATTGCCAGATTAATAAGTTACCTGAACTAATCAATACTAAGTATGTTGGAATTAATAAGTTTATCTCACAACGATAATCTCATCACCTGTTCAGTTGTTTTTCTATATATATATATATATATATATATATATATATGTGTGTGTGTGTGTGTGTGTATGTGTGTGCGCTCAATTGATGAAATGATCTTCTGATATGTGTCATGCAATTTACATTTAGACACGCCATTGTTTCTCCGCCTGTACATGAGTACTGTTTTCTCTTAGACTGATACCGACTAATGCTTACGCTTGACACCCATTACCAGTGGTGCTGCTACCCTCAAAGCAAATTCTACAATAAGATCTAAGCAAAATAAACTAAAAATCTAACTTGAAGTACTTTCATGTATTTTGTCTGGAATTAAAAAAGTGCCACACCAAAAGCGACTGGAATATTGGCAGGGTTCCTTAACTGCATCAATAGATATGAAATATAAGGAGTGGGGAAGGTGTCCGGTTAACGTCTCAACATTTAGAAAGCAGTTCATGAAGCAGTTTCTTTACAAAGATGGGTATGTTCTTTTAGCATCTTTCTTTTCAGGATGTAGGCGATCATGACCCTCCACATCTTCCTGTTCCTTGTAGCTCTTAATAAGTTTTGTCTTTTTGTTATTTCTTCCGAACCGTTTCTATCATCCATTTACTCAAGCTCATCAAGTATGTTAGATGCTGATTTCCTCTGTCCTGAGAGTATCAGATTTCCTAAGCCTTCCATCCTCATTACATGCCCCAGAAATTTCAGCTGTCTCTTCTTGATGTTAAGTATAAGTTTCCTTTTTGTTTCCATTTTCTCTAAAACCTCGTCATTGCTCACAAGTAAGTCCATGGTATCTTTAGCATCTTTCTGTAGAACCGTATTTCTGTTGCTTCAAGTCTCTTCTTTATCTTTGAGGAGATTATGCATTTGCTGCCATACAGAAAGACAGATAAACAATTTTTTAAAAGAGTTTGATTCCCTAGATAATTGTTTAGTCTATCTTATCTGCCAAAGTTTTCAGGAAAAAAGAAGACATGACACAGGAAACTCAATAGAATATTTTGTAAAAATTTAAGATGTGAATTTTTTTTATCCATGTCACTATGTGCTTGTTAAAAACAAACAAGTTTATTTAGATTTGGACTAATATTCTCATCTTTGTTATCATTAACACAATATACTCTCCAGGCTTCTTGGAACATGTAGGGTCAGCCCCTTGATTCATGTCTTGACCACCATGTCTAGTGCCTTGATATAGTTGGGGAAGCCCTACAGAAAGAAGTGTGGTGACCTGGCATTGCCCTCATTTCTCATAACCCACAGGATCAGGATAGATAATAAAAATTTGGTGTTTTTCAATGTGGGCTGCATAGAGTTATATATGACTCCCCCCCCCCATTAACCTGGTTATTTTCAAGAATCTTACTATCTCTATGTTTTGCATATATGATAGCAGAATATTTGGGGGTATTTCTTTTTAATGCCATGACTCTTCAGGGAATAGGCGATCATGCCTTTTTCCAAGACCAGATTGCCAAATTCAGCTCAAAGTTGTAAATTAGTCCAAATTTTTTTTAAAGTAAAAGCCACTAAGACAAGGTGTGAAAGAATTAGAAATAGAAATATTAATAATGAGCACGAAGAGAAAAGAGTAATCAGGAGGAGAGTAGATAGCAATTGACTTTGCATTTAAATTTTTGAACATTAAATTTGGTTGGAAAGCATATAGCTGGAAGTGAGTTCCACAGGTGAGAAGTGCAAGAGAAAACAACATTTACCATGGAATTTATGGCTACATTCATCCAACTCAACTGTAAATTGATGAGATCTCAATGTCAGTTTAGTATTGCACTTGCATTCATAAAGTCTAGGTACCATAGGGAAGAGGTCATCTGAACAAATACCATAAAAAGTACTTATAGAAAAAGCTTGGGAAAGTCACTGAAACCGGGCTGACATATCAGGACCAATAATATTGCTGATTCTTCTTTGAATTTTTTTGTTAAGGAACTCAATGTAAATAGCAGGGACAGCAGTATTCTAACCACATATGAATGATAGACTTATAGATATGTCTACTAGATTTTGAAGAGAAAAATTACAATGAACCGACTGAAAGTCAAACACTATTAACATTCCCAGCAGAACTTAAATATTATATGATCATTTCTTTTTTTTTTTAAATAATTATATTCATCAGATTTAATTCTCTTGTTAAATGTACAACAGAAATGTTGCCATTTGCTGTTCTTTTTTCTAATTTTTATTATCATTTCCTTCCAAGCAAGGTAATAAAGCCACTAAGATGCAAGTGATTACTGAGCGTGAAATAATATAGGAAAAAGAAAGAGAATAATAAAAGAACAGGAATTAAGAAGACAGAACATTATGAGTGATATTGCATTTAAATTTTTGAAGATTAAAGTTGACTGGAAAGCAATAAGCTGGAAGAGAGTTCCACAAACAAGAAATGTGACAGAAGAAACTGTTAACATAGAACTTACGGTTGCATCTAGCTATTTCAAGTGTAAATACTTGCTCTATCATTGTATATGTTATAACAAGAGGGGATAATCAATATTTTTGCATATTCCTATAACATAATTGGCAATGTATCACTAAATCATTATTATCTGCAAAAATAAAATTCTTGCAATCTAAAAATATTTTCTGGCTTTAAATAACCTACAGGTGGTTGATAAGCCATAGAAAATGAATGAATCAATCAACTCTCTATTGTAGGCTTGATGATATGAAAAACTTATTAACTTGAACTTTGGGTTGAGTGAGAAAAGAGGCAAAATATACCAATGAAATATTGCAAATATTTCAAACAGAATTTTCAATGCAAGTAACAAGCCACTTCGTTATCAAAAAATGTCAATTTTCTTTAAAGACCAGTCTTTCTATCCAGTCACTTTCAGTTTTTATATATATATATATATATATATATATATATATATATATATTCCAGTCTTAGATCTCTTGCTTTCAAACAGACTGTAAAAAAAAGATTATTTTCTTATATTTCTTTTTACTTCCATCCATTCAATACTTTTCTTTTGTATGTCTATTTGTAAGAATAAAAGGAATAAGGTTTGTGTACCTCATATTTATCAATACTTCCAAGTCTGCTCATGTCTATCCTTCACCAATCTGCTCACATCTATCCTTCTCAGTTTGCTCATGTCTATCCTTCCTAGTTTGTTCATGTTTATTCTTCCCAAGCTGCTCACATCTATCCTTCACCTATCTGCTCCTGTCTATCCTTCTCGGTTTGCTCATGTCTATCCTTCACCAATCTGCTCACATCTATCCTTCTCAGTTTGCTCATGTCTATCCTTCCTAGTTTGTTCATGTTTATTCTTCCCAAGCTGCTCACATCTATCCTTCACCTATCTGCTCCTGTCTATCCTTCTCGGTTTGCTCATGTCTATCCTTCACCAATCTGCTCACATCTATCCTTCTCAGTTTGCTCATGTCTATCCTTCCTAGTTTGTTCATGTTTATTCTTCCCAAGCTGCTCACATCTATCCTTCACCTATCTGCTCCTGTCTATCCTTCACCAATCTGCTCACATCTATCATTCCCGCTTTTGCTCATGTCTATCCTTCACCAATCTGCTCACATCTATCCTTCCCAGTTTGCTCATGTCTATCCTTCCTAGCTTGTTCGTGTTTATTCTTCCCAAGCTGCTCGCATCTATCCTTCCCAGTTTGCTCACATCTACAGTGGTTTAAATAAATAAATGTAAACTTGTTGCAGCCATGTGAATTTTAATATATTAAGAATTAGGAAATCCTCATTACAAATCAATTGTCGAGATGAATTATTTGAGAAATAAAAGTAATGAAAAGCAAAATGTATTCAAAACATAAAAAAAGTATTTTGTTGCACAAACTTTGTTTCTTGGATTAAAGAACTTTCCTTTCTTCTGTTCTTCCACAATGCTATTCCTGAGATTCGGAGAGTATTCTTTTGTCTTTGACATGGCAGAGAGAGATTGGATGTCCAGTGTTTAGATACAGAATGATGAATTGTCAAGAAGGTACGTGTGGAATCACTTTGGGTGGCGTCACAGAATAATCTAGAAAAACTCTCTTTCAAACATAGGTAAATATTTAATTTCAATACTTATAATAATTATTTTAAAATAAGCAGAAATTGCCTCTTATTCTGATCTGATTTTGCAAATCATTTTTTTTTATATAAAGTTGATTTGTGGTAAAAATTTTGTAATTCCTTAAAACTTGGTCAAATTGCATATTACTGCTTTAAATTTACATGCATTTATTCAATGAAATAATGCATTTTTTGTATATTATGACCCCCTGTATATGTTTAGTCTGTTCATATCTAATTCTTTTTGTATCTAAGTCTTTTTGTATATATCTGTTTATCTAAGTCTTTTCATATCTTTCTCCATCTGTTCGTATCTCTCTATCTCCGTCTGTTCATATCTCTCTCTCTCTCTCTCTCCATCCGTTCGTATCTCTCTATCTCTGTCCATTTGTATCTCTCTCTCCATCTGTTCGTATCTCTCTCTCCCTCTCACTCCGTCTTTTCATATCTCTCACTCTCCGTCTTTTCATATCTCTCTCTCCGTCTTTTCATATCTCTCTCTCCGTCTTTCTCTCTCTCTCTCTCTCTCTCTCTCCGTCTTTTCATCTCTCTCTCTCTTTCTCTCTCCGTCTTTTCATATCTCTCTCTCTCTCTCTCTCTCTCTCCGTCTTTTCATATCTCTCTCTCTCTCTCTCCGTCTTTTCATATCTCTCTCTCTCTCTCTCTCCGTTTTTTTCATCTCTCTCTCTCTCTCTCCGTCTTTTCATATCTCTCTCTCTCGTTTTCCGTTTTCTCTCTCTCTCTCTCTCTCCGTTTTTCATCTCTCTCTCTCTCTCTCCGTTTTTCATATCTCTCTCTCTCTCCGTTTTTCATATCTCTCTCTCTCTCTCTCTTTTTCATCTCTCTCTCTCTCATCTCCATCTTTCATCTCCATCTCTCTCTATCTCCATCTTTTCATATCTCTCTCTCTCTCCGTCTTTTCATATCTCTCTCTCTCCGTCTTTTCATATCTCTCTCTCTCTCCATCTGTTTGTATCTCTCTCTCTCTCCATCTGTTTGTATCTCTCTCTCTCTCCATCTGTTTGTATCTCTCTCTCTCTCCATCTGTTTGTATCTCTCTCTCTCTCCATCTGTTTGTATCTCTCTCTCTCTCTCTGCATCTGTTTGTATCTCTCTCTGTCTGCATCTGTTTGTATCTCTCTCTGTCTGCATCTGTTTGTATCTCTCTCTCTCCATCTGTTTGTATCTCTCTCTCTCCATCTGCTTGTATCTCTCTCCATCTGTTTGTATCTCTCTCTCTCTCTCCATCTGTTTGTATCTCTCTCTCTCTCCATCTGTTTGTATCTCTCTCTCTCTCTCCATCTGTTTGTATCACTCTCTCACTCTCCATCTGTTTGTATCTCTCTCTCTCTTTCTCTCTCTCCATCTGTTTGTATCTCTCTCTCTCCATCTGTTTGTATCCTCTCTCTCTCATCTGTTTGTATCACTCACTCTCTCTCTCCATCTGTTTGTATCTCTCTCTCTCTCTCTCTCTCTCTCTCCATATCTCTCTATTCCTGCCTAAAAGTCTCTGTATCTGGTTAAATATTTTTCTGCTTGCTTCAAAGTGTCTGCTTGCCTCTGTCTTTCACTTTCTCTCCCTATAGGAATGTTATCTGTTTTTCTCTCTACTCACATTTATAGTCTCTCTTTCTTGCCTTTTGTCTATAAGTTTGCCCTCTCTCTCTCTCTGCCTAGAATTATGATTCTGTTTCTCTTTCCCCACAGGTATCCATTATTATTCTTTCATGCTTTGCGTACCTCCAAGTATGGTCTCCCTCTCTCTCACTTCAAGTATAGTGTCTCTTTCTCTACCTACTTGTATAGTCTTTCTCTCTCTCTATTTACAAGTATAATTTTTCTCTCCCTACCTACAAGTATAGTCTCTCTCTTTGCAACTTACAGTCATATCATGTTGAAACACCTTTACTTGTATGATCACTGAAGTTAAGCAACATTAAGCCTTGTCAGTACCTAGATAAGTGTCAGCTTGGGGATACCAGGTGCTGTAACCTTGGATGTGCAGGTGGTGTAATAGATAATGGCTCGGGAATTGTTAATCAGAGATCTGAATTCTAATTCCAGTTGGGTTCGCTATATTAACTTACCTCTGGGAAAGGTATGAATCCACCTCTTCTCCCTCCAGCTATGGGTTAATTAGTAAGACTTCTATCACTAAAATCATTATCTCCAAAAATAAAGTTCATACAATCTAAAAATATTTTCTGGCTTTAAATAACCTATAAAAGTTGATAAGCCATAGAAAACAAATCAGTCAAATCTCTCTCCTCTGCTTCCAAGTGTAACTCTCTCTGTCTCTCTGTACCTACAAGTATGGTTTCTGCTTTTCTCTTTTTCTCCCTGTATTTGCATATAGGTATTTCTATCCATCTCTCTCTCTCTCTCCAATCTCAGCTTTTTCTTTCTCTTTCAATCATTCTGTATCTGTTATTTCATGCTTCTTCCCCCACCACACACTTTCTTCTGATGTCTTTCCATCTCACTACTTTTTCCCTTTTGAACTCCTAATTCATCATCTCTCACCTCAACCAATCAATGAAATACTGATTAGCTACACAGGTATGTCTTTTAGATTTATTTACATTCTCTAGAATGTAAATTACCATGGCTACAAAGTGAGGGGTCAATTTATATATTGACTGTAATATAGAATTGATCCCCCACTTTTTATCCACATAATTTCTTGTTTATTAAATTCTGATTAATTATAAATCCACCTCTTCTCCTCCTCCAGCTATAGGTTAAATAGTAAGACTTGTATCACTAAACCATTATTATCTCTCTAAACTTATATTATCTCACTCAACCACTATTATTAAATCTCTCTCTCACTCTCTCTGCCTATAAGTATATTTTCTGTTTTTCTCTGTCTACTTATAGGTATCTCTGTCTATCTTTCTCTATTTCCAACCTCTCTTTCAATTATTCTGTATTTGTTATTTCATGCTTCTTTCCCCCCACACACTTTCTTTTTATATCTTTCTATCACAATACTTCCTCACCTTTTTTCACTCCCAATACATCATCATCAATTCTCAGTTTTTTTCTTTACTAAATCCATTCTCAGTTATGTCGTATGGCTATTTTTATTTATTTCTGACCCCAGGCTGTTTGAACCTCTTTTCAGGTTGGGAAAAAAATTAGTGCAAATGTGTCTAAAAGTATCAAGTCCATTATCTGCTCATCACGTTCGTCTCAAACCAGCCTTTGTCTTTTCTCATCATTTATACACTCTTCTATATATATTATCTTCAGATTAGATTCAGTATGTGTGTATTTTGTAAACCTGGATTCACACACATACACAAAATATAAATCTCCTAATACATACTGAGGACAACTGATATTTATGCAGTCTTCTTGTATATAAAGCAACATAAATTCAGTGAATTATAGCTCTGTATGTGTGTGACTACTGAAAACTTTGTTGAGAGTTAAGATAAGTAAATGAGAAACTGGGCCATTGTTATAAAGATGTCCAACCAAATCCATCATCTTTGTCATGCTTTCTTTTCCTCTTCAAGATTCTCTTCTTGATTCCTGCTACTAATTCTTCCGGGTAGCCATTTTGTCATACCACCCAGGTGATGAAAATCTTTATCTTTTTCTTGTTGTTTATCATGATATTTCCAGTCAATCTTGTCAGTCTTTGAATTATATTTGGAAGAATTTAAAATGGAAAGATCAAAAGAAAGACCAGAAAAATCAAAAGAAGGAGAGACAGAGACAGAGGATGGATAGAAAGAGACCAAAAAAGGTTGGGGGAAGAACACACAGATAGAGAGAGAGAGAGAGAGAGAGAGAGAGAGAGAGAGAGAGAGAGAAAATAAAAAATGTTGAAAGAAGTATAAATAGAAAGAGAGGCTAAAAAAAGTCAAATGAAGGATAGAGAGTGATCAAAAGAAGAAGGTAGGGAGAGAGAGAGAGAGGGGGAAACTAAAATGGTTGAAGGAAGGATAGAGAGTGACCAAAAAAGATCAGGGGAGTATAGAGAGAGACCAAAAAAAAGGCCAGAGAGATACAGAGAGAAAGGCCAGAGAGATACAGAGAGAAAGGCCAGAGAGATACAGAGAGAAAGGCCAGAGAAAGTTTAGAGAGAAAGGCCAGAGAGAAAGGCTAAAAATGTCTAAGGAAAAATCGAGGGAAAAAGGGAGATGTTAAATAGCAAAAGGTGACTGATTCAGAAGGAAAATTGAAAGAATTTTTACATAAAGTACTTAAGAAAAGTAGAAAAAGCTTATCCATTATAACTGGATAGAATGCATGGTTGTGACACTTAAACTGAGATCAGAACACCTGCATATGGATAGAAAATGAATTCAGTAAATATACAAAAATAGAAAGAGGTATCTTCTCAATGGATTTATTCAACTTATACAGTTAGATGATTCTGAGAAAATTACAAGTCCTACCAGGATTCATTACTGTCAGCCACAATCTTAACAACATAAGATATACAGATGGCACAGTACTGATAGCAGATATAAAAAGGAAACTACAGGGACTCCTACAGAAGGTAGTGAAGGAAAGCAAGAAGAAAGGACTAAACACCAACTGCAAAAGGAGAGAATGCATGGTTGTTAGCAGCCTAAAGTATGAATTACTTATTGGGGATGTCAAAATCAAACCTGTGCAGAAATGTAACTACTTGGGTAGTATTGCAACAGATAGCAAAAGTAAGATATAGAAATCCAAAGAAACATCAGAATAGCAAAGGATTTTTTCTGAAAGTATGCAAAGGTCAAATTCCTGCATGACAATGAATACTGGATGATTTTGTTAGCAAAGAAAGACAAAGATTTGAAGCAACAGTACTGGTTCTACTGAAAAAAAATTGCCAATGATATGAACAAATATGAATAATGAAGAAATTTTAAGAATAGAAACTACAAAGAAATTATCCCCAATAATCAAAAAGAGATAACTGACATTTTTAAGATGCATAATGAGAAAAGAAGGCTTAGAAAATTTAACATTCACAAGGTATATCAATGGCAAGAAAAATAAAGGAAAGCAATGAGTAATATATTCAACAAGATTATGCAATCAGAACCTCATCAGGGTTAATATTAAATATAATTTTCTCAATATCAAGGAGGCTGTTTACTTTACTCTGACCCACAGAGAGAGGCCCACTCTATGAATTTAATTCCTGCTGCTTGAGGCATCCTCCAACAGAAATACTAATGGGACTTGAGCAGTACTTGTTTGTCATATCATATATTTGATGATTGTGCCAGAATCCATATGTGTGGATAGAAACTGATTTAGTAAGTTCAATAGAGGGACAATTAAAACAACAAATGGTTCAGAAAGGAGCAAGTATTACTGAAAGGAAAATGTGGAGACTCATGACTACTCATATCCTGGTGGAAAATAAGCTTTTTATGGTGTATGGATACTACACTGATGCAAAGCTGGGGAGGTATGCTACGATCGAAAGTAAAATACCCTGTTTAGAGACAAAACTGCTGATCCATATGTAAAGAATTCTGCTATTTTTGACAAGGACTATGATTGTAATTAAAAATAGTTCATTTTGAAATATGTATACTCCACATAATAAAACTTATCGCTCGAATTCTGATGAATAGAGTGCACAGCAGAATTTGACCAGAAATAGCATAAGAACAGTGCAGGTATGTTTAAGACATTTGAGCAAGGAATGCGATATCTATGCTCGGAGTGATAGAAGAATGTGTACCTGTGTTTTATAAATTATGCAAAAGCATTTGGAATGGGCATCAAGAAGAGGCAGCTGAAATTTCTGGGACATGTAATGAGAAAGGAGGGCTTGGAAAATCTGATACTCAGAAGCAGATAGGGGAAAGAGACACAAGGGAAAGCAATGTATGACATATTTAACAGGCTTAAGCAAGTGGATGGCAGAACAGGGTCTGGGAGAAATAACAAAAAGACAAAACTTATTGAGCATTACAAGGGACAGGAAGAAGTGGGGAGCCATGATCGCCTTACATAATGAAGAGACAGGGTACATAAAAGAAAAGAAGAAAAGCATTTGACAAAGTATGTCACAAAGAACTGTTAGAACTGCTAAGTAACCTTTGACATATTTTGGAAGAATATTAGAATAACCCAGAACTTAAACTGGGATCAGAACACCTGCATATGGATAGAAAATGAATTCAGTAAATATACAAAAATAGAAAGAGGTGTCTTCTCAATGGATTTATTCAACTTATACAGTTAGGTGATTCTGAGAAAATTACAAGTCCTACCAGGATTCATTACTGTCAGCCACAATCTTAACAACATAAGATATACAGATGGCACAGTACTGATAGCAGATATAAAAAGGAAACTACAGGGACTCCTACAGAAGGTAGTGAAGGAAAGCAAGAAGAAAGGACTAAACACCAACTGCAACAGGAGAGAATGCATGGTTGTTAGCAAAAGGGACAGCCCAACATGCAAATTACAAATTGGGAATACCAAAATCAAAAATGTACAACAATTTAAATGTCTGGGAAGTGTTTTAACAGAGGATAGAAAGTGCAATACTGAAATCTGGAGGCACATTGGGATAGTGAAAGATGTCTTCCAAAAGCTAAGCAAAATATTAAGAAATAAGAAAATTTTGTTCAAAACAAATAAAAGAGTACTGAACGGTTATGGAATATCAGTCATCCTATATGGCAGTGAAGGCTGAACAATCTCCATGCAGTCGAAAAACAGACTTGGTGCAACAGAAATATGGTTCTACAGAAGGATGCTGAGAATACCATGGACTGAACATGTGAGTGATGAAGTTTTAGTTTAATGGAAAAAAAAGGACACTTATACTTAACGTCAAGAAGAAATAGTTGAAATTTCTAGGTTGCATAATGAGGAAAGAAGGCCTGCAAATTTGATACTCACAGGACACAGTGAAGTCAAGGGAGAGAGAGAGCAAAACAATGTGTAATTGTTATACCAGAACATTATCTATTCTATTGTAATAAACTCTCCTACAGATAATAAGTAGTAATAGCAGTGGCCAGTTGAGCTCAGTGGTGTTGAGCGAGTCAGTCAATGTCGGACATTGAAGTATCAACCATCGCAACTAGATTGCTACGTCATTAACTCTTATTTCAAGTTCTTAACATTTTGTACATCGGACCCTTTTAGGACTGACTTAGCAAAATACAAGCCTCCACTGTGAAAACTACTCTACAACAGTAATCTACCTAGAAAGCTTGAATAAATGGATGGCAGAACAAGGTTTCAGGGAAATAGCAAAAAGACAAAATTCATTAACAGCTACAAAGGAGAGGAAATTGTGGAGGGCCATGATCATCTATGTCTTGAAGGGAGATGATACATAGAAGAAGAATTATTTCTATTTCAATGACTCTCTAGCAGTGAATCATAAACACTATGGCATAAAATTATCAGAAGAACAAAATATCAGAATGATTACAATTTTTCTACCTGACCATGAAACCTTCGTTTACCTAATGGTGAAAACATCACCTGTGTTCAGATAACAGCACAAGATATTGTCAGATTTTACTTTGTTCTCATTACACACTGTTTGTTTTAATCATTAAAAAAATTGATCATTTTTTTTTTTTTTATCTCTTAGATGAAATATTATCAGTTATTCACTAGTATTTCTTTCATTTTATTTCTCTTGTTTTTCCACCAAGTAGTAATAGTCTTACGTTGTCTGAATTTCTTAGATGAAGCCTTGTCAATTATTATTCATTTTTCACTAATATTTCTTTCATCTTATTTCTCTTGTTTTTCTACCAAGTAGTAATAGCCTTAAGTTGTCTGAATTTCTTAGATGGGACATTGTCAATTATTATTCATTTTTGACTAGTATTTCTTTCATCTTATTTCTCTTGTTTTTCACCAAGTAGTAATAGTCTTAAATTGTCTGAATTTCTTAGATGAAGTTTTGTCAATTATTATTCATTTTTGACTTGTATTTCATTCATCTTATTTCTCTTGCATTCATATTTTGTATTAATAATCTGTTGTTGATTGTATTTCTTAAATAAGCCATGTCAACCCTTTAAGTTTAACATATATATTCACAAAAAACAGTAT